TTACATTGGAAATGATTTATGAATTTCTATTTCAGCTCAAAATCTTGTCAGTTGACTTACAGCAAAGACTATCACAGACTCTATAAATAAAAAGGAAGAGAAGGGATAGTATGTGTCTTCTTGTAAGTTTTGCACATATGTTGCTTCAGCAATCTCCACTCAAAAAGCCTCTTGTGTTCTCAAGCGTCTCTTTAAAAAAATTGTTTGTTGTAGATGGTCACAATACCTTCATTTTGTTTATTTTTATGTGGTGCTGAGGATCAAACCCAGTTCCTCACACGTGTGAGGCAAGTGTTCTACCACTGAGCGACAACCCCTATCCCTCAAGTGTGTCTTTATAATAATGATTTCCAGGACCTTTGTGGCTAGGTCTATATGTATCATTGCTTTTGTGTACAATTTAAAATTTGAAACACTGTTTACTGTTGTACAGAACATGAAGGTTTAGTAACCTCCTCTTAGAAGTAGAGATACAAATAAATCAGCTCTCTGTGTTTGAAAAGTCTAAACTAAAGTGCAGTTGTTTGCTTCAGCTTGTCAATGGATATTTATGATGTGAGCATAATCCTATAACGGTTATAGCAGTGAAATACATCCTGTGCAGATAGCTAGTAAAGGAGCTCACAGGCATTAATGCCAGTGGAATTTTAATGCTCCAGAGATGGGAAACATGGCACTTTCTCTGGTTAGTGCTGTTCTTACTGACCACAGTAAAAATGAGGGAATAAAATCAGTTTTAAATACTGTAGCATAGTCGGGTCTGTATACTTAACCAACAGCAAACACCAGTTTCTACTGTTGTCTTGTTTTAATCTCTTGGTTTAGTTAACTGCAGAGTAAAAATGTATAACTAGTAAGATATTAGTTATTGCTTGAAAAATCACTTAAATGAAGTAAAAGCTGACAGATTCTGATTCTGAGTTTCACCTTGTTATGATCAGTATTTTATTTGTGATCCATGCCTGGTACATTCTGTCCCTTCTCATAAGGAGGGAAAGTTTGTAATAGAGTAAGACTTCCACACATACCTCTGCTCTACGAGATGAATTATGAATGTAAATACATTTCCAGTTTGTAAAGAATCACTTTGTGCTTACTTTTTCCTAGAATGCAAACAAAATGAAGCTAAGTTTTATGTATTTAGACTCTCAGAATTTATGCTTTAGAAGAACTTTGGGGATTACATGAAGAATAGTATAGTTTCAACATTGACATTTTTAAACATTAAGTTTGTATTATTTGTGTAAGCTTAATTCAGATTAAGTTCAAACAAATCATGAATTACTGTTTGACATCTACAGAGTATCTCTTTATGTCCTACCAGAATGAGAAAAGGTTATGTAGAAAAGAAATCAATAGGATCTTTTATTATTATTTTTTAAAATAAGGCAGAAGTTGAGGCAATATTTTTGTTAGAGGTTTTTGATGTTAAGATGATTTTGCATAGTTTTTGTGGCTGGGAAAGTTGAGAATTAAGTAAGAAATTTATATTAGTTTATATTTACCTATAACAAGGCTACTTCTAAAAAAACTATTGAGAGGAAAAAATATAACAAAACCTTATAAGAATAAAAATAGTAATAATCATGAGCTAAAGTCAAGGGATAGCCATACCAGAAAATATCCTATAAGGATAGCAAGTAATATTAAAACATGCTATAAAGATGATCTTCTGAAAGCCAAAGCCAAGACAAAAAGATTGTGCTGTATATTTGCCTTTATATAGCACAAATATAAGGGAAGCTCTTCAATTTTTTATATAATAAAAAGGAAGCATATGAGCTCACTAGTATTGATGATGTAGAGAGAAGTAATTCTAAAATTATCATTAATAAGTCGCTGAAGTATGAATATCTGTGCCATTAATTGAATGGAGAAATATATGCCCTAGATATTAGCTATTTAGTTAGAAAGTTTGATGTGGTATGAAAATTGAAGAGCTTCCCTTATATCCGTATTTAAATGTAATGAACTCCAGTATACACAAGGCTTACCTGTCCTTACATATATATACACAAACATGTTTTTAAAAATCAGGCAATGGTGATCTTGCCAGATGGTTGAACAGCCATTTCATGGAAGCTCCTAAAATTTTGTACCACAAAAATAAAAATGCTGGTTGCATATTACAGAATTTTTAATGCCAAGTATAGATTATATATTTATATAAAATGCTGTGTGGGTTATATTTTTTAGTAAATCTGCTGTGCACTCTTGAGTCGAACTTTACTGAGATGGGTCAACCAGGACATGAACTGTTAAGTACAACCCAGAGACAGATAAACGGATCCACCCCTGGGACACTGAGTGCTGAAAAGCTTTGATGCCATTAGCAGTTGGTGACAATCCTAAGAGTAGTCAATAGGTCTTGGGCTGACTTTTGAAAAAACATAAATGTTTGGAAAGGAATTCATTTTTGTTCATTGAATTTATTCTTTGAAAACTTATGATTTTCTTTAAATTCACAACTATGTGAATTTATAGAAAATATATAAAGTAGAGAGTAAGAATCCTGTAGTCCCACTAACCACAGCATGCTGTGTGTTGATGTTGTCTTCTACTTTTTAAATGTATATTGAATAACTATAATCATGTACATATGCAATTTGACATTTTTCTTTTCATTTACCATTTTCCTACATCTTTACAAAGTTTTCTACTTTAATGGCTGCAAAACATTGAGTCAGATAGATGACTCATAATTTATTCATTGAATTGTCGGGAAGAAAGAAATACAAATTGGCAGAATATATTTTTCACTTTTATAAAAATCCCAGGGAGGATTTTTTAAATCTTGTCTAGCCATTTTATTGGGAAAAGTTCCCAAAATGATTACTGAGTAATTATTGAGTCAAATAATGTAAGCTTTTTAAGGCCACTTTTACATACTTTGTTCACCCTATAATTTTTGCCAATTTGTGCTTCCACTAGCAAGGCACGAAGCTTCTTTTCTAACTAGGTAATGTGCTTTAAAAGGGAGGCAGTTTTATTCTTTTTAAGCCATACTTTTTATTAGACAAATAAAACAGTGCCATAGCAAGATCATAATACAATGTAAATTATTAATATGTAAATGCTTTTTTTATATGCTATCAAACATTTAAGTTGGTAAACTTTCCTATAATAATCTTGATTAGTATTAATTTGCCTAATTTATTTTTAATATATTGAGAAAGATAAACAGCTTAATCAGTTAATATCTGAATTATCATAATTTCTGAACTAATGCACTTTAAATGCACTTGGTTATAACCTAAACATGTAGTAAAATTCTATTTGTTGTGCCTACCTTTAATTTCTTTAAATATTTAAAAAATATTATAATAATTATATTATGCAATTTAACAATGATTTCATTGTTTCTAGGAGTGCTACATTCCTGAAGCAAAAGAATGGAATATATTTATAGTTCATTTTAAACTAGCAAAGTCTTAAGACATTAATTTAATTCAATTTTATATTGACAAAATGTTGTTCTAAGTTTATGAATTAATGACTTATAAGTCATGATGCCAGATTCAGAGGGCCTAATTGAATAAACAGTAGGGGTGCTGCTTAATGTATCACAATGTATTTGGATTTTACTCATAATTTAGATGCACGATTTTAAGGTAACAATATTATTTAGAAAATATACTGTATTCAAAATAAAAAGAGAAAATTGAATTGATATTATTTTTCATATTAATAATGTAAAGAATTATAGTTGTGGCTTATAATATGTTACATGTTATATTATTCCCTGAACCCTAAGCCACCTAAATTCAGAGACAGTAAGGGGAAAGTAAGTAATAAAATTGGCAATTATGGTAATAATGTTGCCTCCAAAGTTATTTAGAGACAGATAATTTCATGGCTGCTTGCCTTTTAGCAAAAGCTAATAGAAATTCCTAACTCCATTTTTCCTTTATGCTTTTCTGTTTCTCCATAAGTTTCTGAAATTTCAAAATTTATGGAGCAGTCATGTTTGAAAGCAAAATGGACAAAAACCACACTTTTACATTTCAAGCTTTCTTCTTCAACAGTAGTTTTTTGTTCTTTTTGAATTTTGCCATGCTATGGATACTTAAAACAAACTTACATTTAGAGGGGAAGAACTAGAAGCTCTAAAATCTGAAATGGTTTGTGAACAGATGTTATAAGAAATAGAAAACTCTCAACAGGTTGATAATCCTGGTCCTAAACTGGAAAATGTTGTGTGGGCTTTTAGCCATTTTGAGGAACCAGAACATGGTTCATGGAATGCCGTGGATCAGCAATGTCATACTAAAAGAGAGCAAAGGAAACAGATCCTTCATCACTGATTTGAAAATTTGTTTTCAAATAATTCTCAGATTCTTTACAATTATGTATGGAACAATATGTCTACACAACCTTCATTGAAAAGTTAAGAAGTTGGACTGGCAAATTCTCTTTTGAATAGTCCAAATAAATAGTTACTATTTGGAAAGAACACATCATGGCAGTGTGCAGCTGTGGTCAACAAAATTTGGTCAACAAAAATGGTCGTGATCAAGAATAAGTCTATTGCAAAGGCTGTCATAAAGTAGAATCACAAAGACAGCATCTCTTCCTATTCTCATGATTCCTTAATCTCTGTCTTTTGTGCTAAAATGTGCTCCTCGTGTATACATTTTAGAAAATCAAGTTACATAAGAAAGCATTTTAATTTTAATTCATTATTAGAAGCATATAGGGTGGCAGCTTTGATATTATGATAGCCATTGTAGTACTTCAGATGTCAGTAACAAAGTTAGAGTTCTGAAATGTTTTTCCATACAAATTTTATCATAGCGTCAGTTAGGTGAAGTTACTGTGGAAAAGATTAATGAACCATCATGCTTTGACCCAAAGAAAAGAATGTATGACTTTGTGTCTCATGTGAACATTGCTGTTTCCTTGGGTAATCATTTGTTTTATTATGGTATGAAAACCTAGGTGTTCTTAAACTTCTTTATAATTGCTTCAATATTTCAATAAGGATTTCTTTTTTTCTTCAGGGCCGGTGCATAAACTTCTCCAGAGTTCCATTTCAGTAAAGGAAAGCAAGAAGACCAAGAAGGTACAAAGATGGCACATTTTCACATCAAACCAGATGAAAAAAGTCAAGTGCATTTCAGAAACTTTTGGAAGAGCAGCTTAATTTCTCTCCGTCAGGAAATGCTTTCTCAGCCTTCTGCTTTTTTTGCACCAAATATTTTCAAACACTCACTTGACTATCTACAAGGGTGGGATTGATATAAAGAAGAATGTTAATCTGCACACTGTGGTTTATAAAAGTAACTTTATTTGAGTGTGTTGAAGAGGCAAAAGCAAAAAACAGCCACAATGTAAAGGTGATATCAAAACAGAACACAAAACCAGTAGCCATGATGGGTCTTTCATGGAGATAGGACCTTTTAACATGCAAATATGGCGCTTGTGTTTTTGTACGACAAAATCTGTAGCTACAGGCAGAGTATGAAATTTCCCACCAGGCTAAGCAAATATTGGAGTCCATTGCCTTATAGCTATGTCAGATCACAAAATCCTTCCAAGTCCCCTATCACAGTATGCCTCACGGGAAGTTTCTGACTAGAAAATCTTGTCATTCTAACACTGAAAAGTGCACACGCATGACAAAAGATAGACAAGATGCCTCAAGGTATTGGTAGCAAGCAAGATTTTGCCCTTTAGTTTTTGAAGACACCTTTCTTTCATTATGCACTTGGGACAAGAAAATTAATAGAGCGTTATTCCACTGGAAGACAGCCTCTCACCAAAGATCTGGAGTGTAGTTTAAAGGCCTCGTGATTTGAGACTTTGTCCCTGAGACTGGTAGATTTCCTCCTTTTCCTGTGTTTAGGAGTACTAGTGCATAAAGCATTAATATCTGTAAACATACCTAGGAGTTTGTTTTGCTTTTAATTTAAAGGAAGCAGTAACCACAAAGCTTCTGCTCAGGGTTTTTTCTTCCTTCAAGTCTCCAAGGGCTCTTCAGCGTCACAAGCCAGCAACTCTCTTTGCATGAAAATTTCAAAGTTTAATTAATATAATTAAAGGCAACAGCAAGCAGCAGCCTGTGAAGATTTTGCTCATCTTTTTTATGCCTTTTGACATTGAATGACCTATTACTGTATGCGCATTACTTGGATTTTGAGGAGCACTCTACTTTGGTTATGATTCAGTAGAGGAAAAAGACCTCCTTTCTGCAGTTTATAAATTAAATTTTCAGGAGGATCGCCATCAAAAAACATTGACAATGTATGTATTATAATTTTTTAGAAAAACCACCATCGTGTCACGTCGACGATGCCAGATTATGTTAGCGTGAGCAGAAACACTGTGGGGGAGGAAGAAGGCAGCAGCTGAAGAAAACAGCTCAAATGATCTAGTCACTTTCGATACTGTACTTCAGATGCGAAATGGATATTCGACTCGAAACCTGACAAAGCGCGCCGGCTTTGATGTGAACTGGTATAGACAATGACCAGTGGCCGGGTCAGTGGGATGTCTCTCTGTGAGCACAAAGGCTTATCAAATGACACTAAAAATAAGTTCAACAACCATCACATTGGAAGGGAGAAGGCGAACATTTCATGTTTGGCGGGCATATGAGTGCACAAGATGGAATGAACGATTTGGAGCATCCTGGTATAATTACCCCCATTGTGCTTTTAATGGAAATTTCAGAGGATGGGGAATGATTCTGTTGGTTGGTGTCCAGGTTTTTGGCACAGCTCCAAGAAACCTTATGTACACACACAAATATATGTATATGTACACACACACGCACACACATACATACACCCCACACTTATGTATTCTCTGGCTTGAATCTTTTGCTCAAGTTTATTTATGTCACTGGCTGGCTGGATCCAAAGTCATGTGTCCACATATTCATAAATAAAATTTTTATCTGTGCCTTTGTTATTCTTTTCTTTAAGTCCACATGAAGCTCATGCCTTCTTTGGTTGAATATAAAATTGTTCTAGTTAGTTCCAGGAATGGAATTGTATTCAGTTGTAAAATATCCAGTATGTTTAGAGATGATACTATTGGCAGAATCCATGGGTACCAGTGCAATATGGAAGCCTGACATAGGATTTCCAACCCTTTCTTCATGAGTTCTTGTACACCCTTGTTCTATGTTTGCATCTAAAACAGGACCTATTGCTACTTTCTTAAATACGCCCTTCATTTCTGATCAGTGCTTAGCCATCAATGCTATTTTAAGAGCATCAAGGATACCACAGTAGAAGCTAAGATTATGGGTTTTCTATTAATTATTTTAAACTTTGCTAGTACCATATAACATACTTATATTTTGCTACAGGAGCAATATAAAATAAACCTCTGCCTTTAAGTGGCAAAATAGCTTTCTGGAGATTTGTAATGCAAATAATATGAAGAGTTCCCCATGGAGAGGGAGGGGCATTGGTCTATATGTAGATTGAAGAAAAACATACCATTCATAAAGTTCCAATACAGACTGAATTGCATTGTTCTTAAAAATATGAACCAGATCTGTATTATGCATTTCTCTGATTATTTTAACCAGCAAATGAGAATAATTTGTTTGAAAGAGTAGTTTTTTCACCAAAGAACTCCATCAAAAATCCCTACACTTCTCAATAGGTTAGAATAAAACCTCTTCTATAAGTTTTGTGACACTTTATATATAGAGAGAAACGGCTCCAGTGTAATTTTCTGGACATGATGTCAGTCAAGATGTCCTTTCTTGTACAAATGAATAAGTCTTATCCATCATCCATTTGTGTTGCATAAGGTTGCAAAAACAATTAAGTGGGAAATGACTCCTAACTTATGTGTCTACTCTGCCTGGAAAGAAAGTTTTGAAGGCATCTATATATATTTCATAACAATGTCTGTTCTTTATGGATTTGATCCATAAATATTTATCTATCTGAAAACTTTGATACTTGGAATGTTTTCCTTAAAGCATTTGGTGCTCCAAGAAAAAACATTTGGTGCTAAGAGTTGCAGCACTGATGCCTTTCCCCAAGTTAATTCTATTTTAAAAATTTGTATTTCCTTCCCAATGAGATGCAGAGTAAAATTTGAGACTCTCCATTGACTAGGGAGCAGCATCTGTCATCTATGGTTAATTACTATTTTAACAAAAATATATAAGATTTAAACCCCCTATATTTCAAATTGTTAAGGAAAGAGCTGATTTACTTATATTTCCATTGAACCTTATTTTGGCCATTTAGATAATAAATGACACACTATTTGTTTTTATAATAAATTCTCACTGGATATAAGAAAGATCTAGGAGTCCCTGTGAACTTCATTTTATTATCTGAGTATCACTAAACATTGTTTACTGCTCAGAGGTGGATTTATTTTCTTTAAAATTCAAACAAAATCTATATTATGGCTAACAAAGTTGTTCAAAACATTTTTGACTGGTTGTCTTACCTATATTAATTTTTTTTAAGTTCAAGAAGGAATAATATAGCCAGGTGTGGTGGGTATGCCTATAATCCCAGTGGCTTGGGAGGCTGAGGCAGGAGGATTGTGAGTTTAAAGCCAGCCTCAGCAACTTATTGAGGCACTAAGCAACTTAATGAGACCCTGTCTCTAAAAATATTAAAAAGGGCTGGGGATGTGGCTTAGTGGCTAAGCATCTCTGGGTTCAATCCCTGTCCCAATAAATAAATATAAATAAAATAATAAGAAGGAATAGTATAGGTAGGTTACAAATTCTATAAATATTGTCTTGTAACTTCTGCTTCCATGTGTATGTTGTATTTTAGTTACGTCACCTTCTCTGGGGAGTTTTTAGAATTTTATTACTAGTAAAATTTTTGGTATGTTTATATGAACAGGATAGATATATGTGTTACATATCTATTTTAATATGAAAGGACATATGATTGAGAAATGTAACTCTGGTACATCTATTAATATAAAGAACAGGCCGATGGGGCTGGACAACACTGAATAGTCATTGAAGCCGTATACTCTAGTCTTGGAGTTAGATTAATAATTATTGAATTTCTATGGCATATATCTGAATATAATTTAAGTATATTCCCACTATAAAAAGTTAATTCAACCAGATAGGAAAAATAATTTTTAAAAAACACTACCATTTTGTAGGCCTTGTATTATTATTTTTTTAATGATTGGTTAACTGACCTATATTAATTGTGTTCTTCTGCTCAAAAAAAAAAAAAACCCACAAAAACTCAAATCAGAAAGTACACAGCATAACATGCCAATTTATGTAAAAACATGCTTGCTCATGTTTAGGAATGAGAGACAGAGGTCTTAGACCATAGACCTCACCACTAGCTACCTTGCTGACACTGAGCACATCAACTTCTCCACCACAGGCTGAAGGGATTGAAGGTACTTAAAGTTCCTTTCAGCTCTGATGACATTCCTATTAATATGGTCATATACACCACTGTGTATTTATGTATCTCATGTTTTTAATGACTGCTTTATTTGTAAAGCATGGTAATAAATTTGCTATGTAAACTACCATTTAATTACACAAAAGATTAAAACATATCATTTGATGATTAGCCATGATAGAGTAATTTCTTTGGTTTCTTATAAGCAAAAAATTTTTAAAGAGGCAAATAGTAATATAGTTTATATCTGACAATATCCCTCAAAAGATGAGTAAAATATTGCTAAATATATCTGTATATTTCATGCTGACGTTTCAGTCTCATCAGGTATCTCAAATGCATACATAAAGAGACAGAAATTCTTATGAGACATTTAAACTACCAGTTTAAATGACTGTAATACTTTGTACATTGTAGAAATATAAATTATTAAACTTCTTTTCCCTTAGTCAAGTTGGGAAACAAAAACTCCACTTAATCAAAAATAACTATGCTTGTGATGCCCACAGAAAGTGTTCAGTGGAAAATATTTTAAGGAATAAATTGACACAGCTTAGAATCTGTAGCATATTAGAATTGCTAACCTTTCATAAGACTTTCATAGTCTTAATATAGAAGAATACTGTGAAAGTAAGAATTCAAAATGTAAAAAGGTGGACCCCAAACATTGTCTCCTAATTACTATAAGTTTTTTATCTTAGATTAATTATATTTGTAGGTTGTAAATGTTAAGGGCAAGACAAAGGAATTTGTGACAGTTATTAAAATACACATTTATGTAGATTCCATTTGACTAGAAACATTGGACAAGAATTAATTTCTAGAGTGTAAACTCTTAACAAGCTATACATTGCCTCCATGAACTAAAAGGCAACATGATTTTAAACAGTTTAGATTCAAAACAAAAGGAACAGGGAGCTTCCAAAACCATAGATGATGGAGAAAGAAAATTGTTTCATCGTATGCTAAATTAGAAGCAAATCTAAACCTCTTGGCATGCTTACGTACTCCACCATCTGATTTGTATAAGTAATTGGGGAAAGAAAAACTCATAATATAAAACAAAACTAACTACTTGTAGCAGATGACACCTGTAAATGAAATTTACCAGTTGAAATTTTGATGTGAAATGAAACTATTATCATGATCATACTAAAGTTTTCTTTTGAGTTCTTTTTTTAACATCTTCCAATTCTAAAAGTTTCTGTTAATTAAACAGAGCAATGACAGACCCTCATCTTCTTTAAATACTTTGTTTGTGTGAGGCTGTCACACGGAAAGAAAGATTATATTTTAAACAATATGTTCAAGTGTAAAAATCTTCAACAAATTCTGAATGTTTTTAAAAATGGGGGAAATTTTCAAGACTTAAAATTAACATCTTGGGATTCTTAATAAGGAGCTATTCAGAAAGTTTGAAAGAATTTAAATAATTTTTAAAGAGGATATATAATACTACGTTATGATCTGGACTAGTCAGTGTATTATTCTGAGGGATATTGATATGATTAATATATTGTAGCACAATGCTAAAAATAGAAAATTATAACGACAATAATGGTTGTTCAGCATCTCTGTATACCTTTCATTGCCCAAAAAAGTATTGAGATAATGCATTTATAAGGTGAAATAAATGATTTTAAAACTTCTAATTCAAAATGAGATGAAGGCCAATTCATAAGTGATTTTAAAATTATGTATCGAGATAGTAGAATTAAAAATAATATATTTCTTAAATTATTCCATGGTGGGTATTCCTTTCTTTTAAAAAGTATTTCCCTTAACTCTTCAAACATCAGTCTGACAAATCTCAACCCAATGGTATTACTGCATATGTTTATAATTTGTAACTTTAAAAAACATTTTAAATGTCATTTAATTAGAGAAGGAAGGGATTGTATTAGTTTCCTATTGCTGCTATAACAAAGTTCCACAAACTTAGTGGCTAAAACACTAATTTATTTCCTAATGTTTCTGAGTGCAGAGGTCCAAAATCAGTTCCAATGAGCTAAAGACAAGCCTGTAGCTGGGTTCATTCCTTCTAGAAGCTCTAAAAAGACACTTCATTTCTTCTTCTTTCTCACCTATATTTCTTGGCATGTGGCCTCTTCATCCATCTTCAAACTGTATCACTCCAACTTCTGCTTCAGTTACCACAGCACTTGTCTCTCCAATCTTTTGCCTCCTTTTCTATAAGTACCACTGTGACTATAACACACCCACCTATATAATCCTGGATAACTTCTTTCTGTCAAAATCTTTAACATGATCATATCTGCATAGACCCTTATGTTGTACAAAGTGACAGTCAGGTTCTGGGGATGAGGACATGGATATCTGAAAGGACCATTTTTCAGTCCATCACAAAGCTTGGAATAATTTTCCTTTAATTTAACATTTTCCTTGTATCTGACACCATAAGAAAATGACGAGTTCAACTTTCTACTCAAGATCCTTACCTGCCCAAATCTGTAATCTTGTCATCCCAGTGTTGGTTTCTTTTACATTTTCTCTTTCTTCCTTTTTTTAAGGTTG